TAATATTTAAAAAATATGAAGATGATCCTTTAGAATTTTCCTTTTAAAAAAATGAAGCTATTAAGAAACCATCTTTAAAACCAAGAGGAAAAATCAGGCTTAGATACTTTACAAAATGAGGTTTTCTTAAAGTTAAGAAAAGTATAGTAAACTAATAATTATAATCACAAAAGTAATAAAAATAAATGAATTTGTTTTTAATAGATACTTAAAAAGCGACCCTCGTATAATCAATAAGTATTTTATTACCCTAAAATATATTTGTTTTAATATTGATCAAGCTGTCACGTGTAGTGTTTTATCGGGTAATTAATATTTTAAGATTCTTTTTTAATTTAAATTTTAATTTATTTATATATATATAAATATAACTAAATTCTAGACTGGATCCATTACAAAATGGAGGGTCGCTTAATTTTGCTTTGGGTATAAAGTTGGCAGAACTTGACTTAAACAGTTTAAAAACTATTATGAAAAATATTATTTGACAGCTGTATAATATATTGTATTATAATACAATGATATATATAAATAGTAAATAAAATAAATAAAAATAATAAAATAAAAATTAATTACTTAAATCTTGAAATTCTTGAAATATTTTCACAGTTGGTATAAATAATTTCTCTTCTCTGTTAGTTGGAACCCAGAGGGGTGCAAAATCATTAAACTATTCGTTCTATTTTTAATGGTAATATAATTATCAAATAATAAAAATAGATAATAATAAAAAAGCAATTATATTATAATAAAATTATATAAAATTAATCTATTGTTGAAAAAAATATCTTCTTCGCTTCCATTAATTTTTTTTTGATTGTCTGAGATTAAAAAATTTAAAAAATTTTTCATTTTCTGATAAATAAACATTAAATTTGTTTTATTTTTGTTCTTAAAAGTATTCAAGAAATAACTTGTTGAACATATTTCAATATTTCAATGTAGTGGAAAGTAGTAACACAAGTTATAAAATTATTAAAACGCTTATTCATTTATAATTTAATTTTCACACAAAATTGGAAGTCTATACGCACATATGTTCTTTAATTAAAATTTATTAATCGACTTACGAGTTTTGCCCTTTATTTGCATTTTTTCCAGGTTTGGAACTGTCTTATCATTGTACACAATAACGCCTGCTGCGCCCTTGTAGTGCACATTCTTCACCTTCTCCTCGAAAGTACAACGACCGCGACGCACTAAAGCAATCCATGACACACCAGACGATGGTGTTGGATTACCGAGTGTGCCCAAAATATTTGGTGAGCATGCATAGTCATCAGTGAAATCATTCGCATCGGTAACGTGCACTAATTTACCTTTGACAGACAGAATTCTACCCTCACCATAACGTGCCTTCTCTTCTGCATATTGCACCTCGTGCTTAATGTGATCATCGCCGTAATAGGTGTAATTGATGAAGGCAAATGTATATGTATCCATAGCAATGCGATCTTCGGTCATCACGGCTAATGACTGTGAAGCATTCACTGAACGAAAATAGCGTTCTATGTCCTGATTGCCAATTGACATCGCAGCTACAAATGTGGTGGTTGTCGTTGTTGAGGTTAGTCTGAGGCCACCGAGCAGACCAACTAAACAAACAAACAGGAATAACTCCTTTGAACACATTTCGATGTATCCTCTTTATTAAGCGTTTGGGTTAAAAATTTTCTCGATTTAAAATTTGTTGCACTCGAAATCGGCACTTTGTGTTGTTGCTTTTTGTATCCAGCAATCTTTTTATCGATTCAGTTGTTTTATAAAATATTTCAACGAAAGATTTTTTTGTGAAAATTTATTTTGAGATATTTTTGCATTTAAGCTTTTGTTTTCTCTCAACATTGATAAGTGAATTTGTTAATTTTTTTTTATTATTTTCTTGTGCCGTTGACTGCTCACGTTTCGTAAGAGTTTTTCACCTTTCGTTTTTCAATGTAGCAACGTTTCTGAAAATGAAAATAAAAAATATTCAGTTTTTGCTGAAAATCAATTTGATATTTGCAAAAATAAAATATATTGCATGTGTATTGGTCTGTGTTTGTGTTCAAAGATATGACATTTTAAAACATTTATGATAAGATTTCGAAATTTGTTTGTAAAAAATTTAAAAGTGTGCGGTGCTTTTCTGATTCCTTTTCATTTAGAAGACGCAAAATTTCATAAATTGTAGTTTTTTTTCGTTAGATTTTCAAGTCATGCAAGAGAAAAGGGAAATAATCTTTCAGAAGATTAGATTTACCTATACCGATTTGTTTTTTAACAACAAATATCCAACAAATAACACATCAGCTTTATTACCCATATTTATCAAGTATTAGTATATATTTTTTTAATAAGATAAATTATTGAACTTTTTCAATAGTGTTTAACTGTTTACGTTAAATTGAAGCACAAATAATACAGACCTTTTTAAGGTATTACAATAACATAAAAAAAATTGAATAAGAGAAAAAACTTTTATATATATTTCTAGTAGCATCACCTTACTAACCATTTCCTACATTCCTACGTCTATTCTACTAAACATAACAATTCCATGTAAATGTCACCATTTTAAATAGGCAAAACTTGTGCCGAATTGCTTGTGTATTGGCACTGTCTTTCCAAATATAATTTATTCAATTCTATTCTCCATTCTACTAAACCTCACTAAATCTACATTAAACAGTACCATTTTTAAACAACAGACAAGACTCAATGCGAATCTCTCACGCATAGACCAGATTAACACGACACGTTTTGTGGAGCAGTTAAATGGTAGAAGTCATTCCTCCAAATATTGGGCGACACATATTCGTGTGGTCATCGACAACGTACATTGATTATCCATTTAGAATGAATTACATAAAGCTTGAAAATACGTATAAGATCTTCAAATGCTGTCAGGGCTGTCATACCCTATTTTATTATTAACCGATAAGAGAATTAATATTCTATTACTGTCTGATAATATAATTAATATTCTATTATTGATCGTTTATCAACTATTCGGAACTCTTAACTGTATGTTCATGTAAATGTCATAGAAGATAAACTAAGTAATGGAAATGATTCTCAAGGAACTCTAGAAAAGATGTGTTCATAAAGTGCATATGAACAGATCTGGAATGAGTATATGAAAAAGCAGGAATAAAAGTGCGGCGAATCAGTGTGGCATTGCTGTCAAATTTTAAAAGAAGTGTAAAGATAAGTGCACCCAATTTATACTAGTGATGTTCTTGAAAGGTTGCAGAACTCTTATAACAGTCATAAGTGAGCTGATGGGTCACAGTTTATTTTCGCCAAAGCGAGCCAACAATAAAAGAGAACTTAAAACATTTCTAATTTTATGTCCTGCCTTGATGCATATATGCTTAAAA